GACTAGGATTGCAACCCCTGTTTTTTTTTTTTTCTTTCCATTTGCTTGGTAAATAGCCCTCCATCCCTTTATTTTAAGCCTATGTGTGTCTTTGCACGTGGATGGGTCTCCTGAATACAGCACACTGGTGGGTCTTGACTCTATCCAATTTGCTGGTTTGTGTCTTTTAATTGGGGCATTTAGCGCATTTACATTTAAGGTTAATATTGTTATGTGTGAATTTGATCCTGTCATTATGATTCTATCTGGTTTTTTGCCTGTTAGTTGATGCAGTCTCTTCATAGTGTCAATGGTGTTTACAATTTGGTATGTTTTTGCAGTGGGTGGTACTGGTTGTTCCATGTTTAGTGCTTCCTTCAGGAGCTCTTGTAAGGGAGGCCTGGTGGTGACAAAATCTCTCAGCATTTGCTTGTTTGTAAAGGATTTTATTTCTCCTTTGTTTATGAAGCTTAGTTTGGCTGGATATGAAATTCTTGGCTGGTTGAAAATTCTTTTCTATAAGAATGTTGATTATTGGCCCCCACTCTCTTCTGGGTTGCCAAGAGATCCACTGTGTGTCTGACAGGCTTCCCTTTGTGGGTAACTTGACCTTTCTCTCTGGCTGCCCTTAGCATTTTTTCCTTCATTTCCACCTTGGTGAATCTGATGTTTATGTGTCTTAGGGTTGCACTTCTCGAGGAGTATCTTTGTGGTGTTTTCCGTATTTCCTAAATTTGAATGTTGGGCTGCCTTGCTAGATTGGAGAAGTTCTCCTGGATAATATCCTGAAGAGTATTTTCCAGTTTGGTTTCATTTTCCCTGTTACTTTCAGGTACGCCAATCAAACATAGATTTGGTCTTTTCACGTAGTCCCATATTTCATGGAGGTTTTGTTTGTTTATTTTCACTCTTTCTTCTCTAATCTTGTCTTCACACTTGTTTCATTGAGTTGATCTTCAGTCTCTGATATCCTTTCTTCTGCTTGATTGATTCAGCTATCGATACTTGTGTATGCATCACGAAGTTCTTGTGTTGCATTTTTCAGCTCCATCAGGTCATTTATATTCTTCTCTAAACTGGTTATTCTAAGTTAGCAATTCATCTAACCTTTTTTCAAGGTTCTTAGCTTCCTTGCATTGGGTTAGAACATGTTCCTTTAGCTTGGAGGAATTTGTTATTACCCATCTCCTGAAGCCTACTTCTGTCAGTTCTTCAAACTCATGCTCCATCCAGTTTTGTTCCCTTGCTGGAGAGGAGTTGTGATTTTTTGGAGGAGAAAAGGCATTCAGGGTTTTGGAATTTTCAGCCTTTTTGTGCTGATTTCTCCCCATCTTCATGAATTTATCTACCTTTGATCTTTGATGTTGGTGACCTTTGGATGGGGTCTCTGAGTGAACTTCCTTTTTGTTGATGTTGATACTATTCCTTTCTGTTTGTTAGTTTTCCTTCTAACAGTCAGGCCTCTCTGCTGCAAGTCTGCTGGAGTTTGCTGGAGGTCCACTTCAGACCCTGTTTGCCTGGGTGTCACCAGCAGGGCTGCAGAACAGCAAAGATTGTTGCGTGTTCCGTCCTCTGGAAGCTTCATGTCAGAGGGACACCCACCAGATGCCAGCCAGAGCTCTCCTGTGTGAGGTGTCTGTTGGCCCTCCTGGAAGGTGTCTTCCAGTCAGGATACACAGGGGTCAGGTACGAACTTGAGGAGGCAGTCTGTCCCTTGTCAGAGCTTGAATGCTGTTCTGGGAGATCTGCTACTCTCTTCAGAGCTATCAGGCAGGGACATTTAAGTCTGTTGAAGTTGTGCCCACAGCTGCCCCTTCCCTAGGTTCTCTGTCCCTAGCGAGATGGGGGTTTTATCTAGAAGTCCCTGACTGGGGCTGACTCCTTTGTTTCAGAGATGCCTTGCCCAGAGAGGAGTAATCTAGAGAGGCAGTCTTGCCACAGCGTCTTTGCTGAGCTACTGTGGGTTTCGCCCAGTTCAAACTTCTTGGTGGCTTTGTTTACAATGTGAGGGTAAAACTGCCTGCAGTCTTGCTTGTGACAGTTCAAAGATGACAATTGTCTGGAAATTTTATTACATATTTTACTGTATCTCACATTTAAATAGCACTCTTCCACAGAACTATTTCAAAAACCCCTCTCTATGGGTAGGAAAATATTGCGCATTTACAGGTTAGTTTTCCAAGCAATGATTCATGTGAACCATTTTGAAGAACAAAATAGAAATGCCCAAATTCCATGCTTATGATTGTTTCTTGGAAGTACATCTGTTGTCTCAGCTCTGCTCTTTCTCATATTAAGTGAAGAGCACATGTGGGAGCAAAAGCGTAGACATACCATGACCCCAGATTCCTGGATTCATGCCCTTCTAGTGACTAGCAGTTATTTTTACTTGCTCTTTATCACCCCATCTCTCAATCTGGCCCAGGTAGCCATTTCTGCATGTGCAGATAAATATACCTACACCTATAGGTACAGGTGGCAGATAGAGGCTGGTTAAGGTGTCTGACATGTCTTAGGTTGGGCTTGTAGTAGCCACAGATACAACCCAGAGAGAAGGAATGGGAAACAGGGGTGTTAGTAGGGGTCTATGTTAGCAATTAATTTATAATAAACAGCTATGTCTTTGTTTTAATTTCCACAAGCATCATCAGGAAATGAAACAAATTAATCAGTTAATTAATAGATTTCATTTAGCATGTACTGAAGTTATGCAATGTTGAAATAATACGTGGTTTTAAAAAAATGACATAAACACTGTCCAGACTTTAACTTAAGAGTATTTACTTTTCAAGAGAACAGTGGCTTGAAGTGTTGAGGACATTGGGAGCAACACCAGTAGTCAATTAATAATCAAGGCAAATTATTTCAAGCAGTTTTCCTTGCTCTTGAGTCCATAGATGTTACAGATACCACTCAGTTGCTATCGTTTTTGAGATGAGTTAATGCTGGGTTGGAAATGACTGAAGAATTAGCCCCTATGAATGGGTGAGTGATGTGAGTGCCTAGAAGATTGCTGTGAAGGTCACTGATTTATCACGTGTGTATTGAGCCACTGTTATGTACCAGACCTTGTTTTAGGCTCTGGCTGGGGTTAGGGCAGTAACGAAGATGATGTCTTTGCTCTTATGAAGCTTATGTTCTATATAGTGTCTCCTTGATTGTAAGACCTTATCTGCAGTGCCCACGCCTCTTGGCACACTGCCAAACATATAGTCGATTCTCAATAAACCCTTGTTTGTTGTTTCAATAGATCTATGTTGCAGAGCTATTTAAATATAGGGCTTCATTTGTTTGGAAATCATGTTTTGTATGCTTTTCAGGTTTGCTCTCGAAAAGATAAGACCAGAGGTTAAATTTTCTGATATATTTTGATATAAACTTAAGCAAGAGCTTCAGTTAATTCCACAGAAGTATTCCAAAAACCCCTGTCCAAGCACAGGTAAAGCCATTACATATTGATACAGGTAGGCCAGGCCTTCATCAGAAAACATATGGCAGAAAATAAGGGTAAAGATGCAGGTTGACTGGTGAAGTTTTTCTTATGTGAAGAATGATATGATGTGTTGGCTTATCAAATTTGTTTGCATATTCCTATGTATTTCTGGGAGTTAACTACATTTTATTGATATGGTCACAGCACAATGCCTTTATCATAATGATGAACAGGAGGAGCTTTGCCTAGTTCTTATGACATATTCTTTCTCACATTCAGAGAAGTGGAGAGCCTGCTGAGCTTTAGTTGCTAAGCGGTGTCACATCTTCCAGTGTCAAAAATTATAACCCCTGCTTCCCCCAAACCTAAGGATTCTCTTTTATTTTTTCCTTTTTCTTTGAGACGGAATCTTGCTGTGTCACCCAGACTGGAGTGCAGTGGTGCGATCTCAGCTCCGTGCAACATCCACTTCCCAGGCCCGAGAGATTCTCCTGCCTCAGCCTCCCAAGTAGCTGGAATTAAAGGCATGTGCCACTATGTTCAGCTAATTTTGTATTTTTAGTAGAGACGGAGTTTTACCATGTTGGCCAGGCTGGTCTCAAACTCCTGACCTTGGGCATCTGCCTGCCTCACCCCCCAAAGTACTGGGATTATAGGTGTGAGCCACCACACCCAGCCCAGATACTCTTAAACTATGAAGACAGTCACAAGGATGGAGGGTACTTCTTTGAACTTCTTAATTCGTCATGGCAGAGACGTCACAGGCAGTTGAACAGCTTGTTCCCTGCACAAAAGCTCCCCTTGGAAGGGGCTAGTAGTGGATAGTAGGGGCTGAACCTAGTCCAGACTTAACATGAGCCTTGACTTGGGCTGCCAACCCTAAAGAAGGAGAGGGCTTCATGCCCTTCCTTTGTATGACATAGCACCTGTTTGTAATACACAGTTACATGTAGCTTTACTGGAGAAACTCACCCGAGCTTGGTTTCACCTCGGCTTGTCACAGCCGAGATTCTCTTGTTTTAGAAATGATCAAAGTTGGCCAGGCACGGTGGCTCATGCCTATAATTTGAGCACTTTGGGAGGCTGAGGCGGGCAGATCACTTGAGTTCAGGAGTTCGAGACCAGCCTGACTAACATGGTGAAACCCGGTGTCTACTAAAAATTTTAAAAATAGCTGGATATGATGGTACATGCCACTAATTCCAGCTACTCAGGATGCTGAGGCTGGAGACTTGAATGAACCCAGGAGGCAGAGGTTGCAGTGAGACGAGATAGTGCCACTGCATTCCAGCCTGGGTGTCAGAGCAAGACTCTGTCTCAAAAAAAAATGATCAAAGTTATCTTCTGATGCCTAATTAAACAATGATGCAATACATCAGAAAGCCACATTGTATCTGTTTACTTATACCCTACTTTAATCCACAAGAATTCTCAGGCAGCTCCAAAGCCAATTAAAAGTGATTTTCCTTTTTGGGTTGCCTTCCCCAGTTGCCCAAATAATCTAGACTTTGTCTTATGATAGATGCATATTGCTCTGGGTTTCTATTTTAAACACTGTCTAACTTGAGATGCTTTTCTTTCTTCTCAGGTTGGTTAAATCTAGACTCAAGAGGCTCTGCACCTCAGAAATTGGACTTCTGAAAAGTGTTGAACGAGAACAAGAATCAGAAGAAGAAATGTGACTTCGATGGGCTTCCAGTTTTTCTATATAAATCTTTTTTTTTTTTTTTTTTTTGCATTGTTTTTGTTCTTGGTTTTGTTTCTTGATCTTTTGCTGGAGAATAGCTGGCTAAGGATGACTCTCAGTGTACTGTTTGCATTTCCAATTTTGTTAAAGTATTTGAATTTAAATATTTTATTTTTAGCTTTGAAAATATTTTGGGTGATAATTTCATTTTGCACATCATGCGCGTCGTGGTATTCAGGGGCTGATTTTTTCCAGATTAGCTAAAGTTTGATGCCCACACTATGAAAAAGAAATTTGTTTTATTTGCCTTATAGAGATGCTCAAGGTTACTGGGCTTGCTACTATTTGTAACTCCTTGACCATGGAATTACACTTGTTTATCTTGTTGTTGCAATGAGAAATAAATGAATGTATGCCTTTTGGTGAAGACACTTGAAATCTTTGTTTTTGTCATCTAGCTACACTCCTCCCTTATATCATGCACAAGGAGCTACAGGACACAGAAATTCTTCTTTTAGCACCTGAGTTCCCCACTGGGAATAGTAGGCCAGAAGTCCTTCTAGGGTGTGTGATCTTTCAGAGAAGATAAAAGAGATGATCCGGCTGTGCGCAGTGGCTCACGCCTGTAATCCCAGCACTTTGGGAGGCCGAGGTGGGCGGATCACGAGGGCAAGAGATCGAGACCATCCTGGCCAACATGGTGAAACCCTGTCTCTTCTAAAAATACAAAAAATTTAGCTGGGCGTGGTGGCGAGCACCTGTAGTCCCAGTTACTCGGGAGGCTGAGGCAGGAGAATTGGTTGAACCCGGGAGGTGGAGATTGCAGTGAGCCGAGGTCGTGTCGCTGCACTCCAGCCTGGCGCCTGGTGACACAGTGAGACTCTGTCTCAAAAAAAAAGAGATGATCCCTGGGACACATGGTTGCAAAGCCATGAGAGATTGGGAAAGGAGGGTTGGGTGTTGTCTCTAAGAGTTAAAAAGTCATCACATGCCATAACATGGCCATCACACCATCCCCAGTGTTAAAATACGTGAAGGGTTAAAATGAGGAAAAGCATTTTATGGAATTCCTGGGTAAAAAGTCAGAACCCTCACCTAGTCTGTGACCTAATAGCCCTCCAGTGAGAGTCAAGAAACCTTGTTTCTGATTCTGGCTCTACCATTCGCCAGCCTTTAGGTCTCTGGCAATCACCGTGTCCTTATCTCTAAAGTAAGGAATTGAATTGAACGAATCATGGGGCCTTTCTGGCTGTCACATTTTATGAATCCGGAAATGGAAACGTGGAAAGCTATTAGGTCGGTGCAGAAGTAACTGTGGTTATTGTTATTGAAAAGCAGTGTCAAAAACTGCAATTACTTTTGCACCTGTTGTAACCTGTTGTAACGGAGTGAGCACGAAATCACCACCATGACAAAGACTAGGCCAAATTGCAGGGTCTTTATTGCCAGCGGCCACGGAGGACTCATGTCTCTCTACCCCGTGGCCCCAAAAGGAGGGTGTCAAGGCATTTTATGCCCAAAAACCACCTCCTGGGCAGGGGTGAGGGCAAGGGGCTTCGGACATTCCGAAGTGGATTTTGGACATTCTGTAAACCACCCCCTGGGTGGAGATAAGGGTGAGGGGCTTCGGACATTCCGAGGGCCAAGGGACTTTGGACATTCCGTACATCACCTCCTGGGCGGAGATGAGGGTGAGGGGTTTTGGACATTCTGATTGTTACTTAAGTGGTTCACCGAAGTCAAGATAAGCGTTAGTTTACACATTGTCTGGGTAGGGTGGAAATGACAGACCTTAGTTACTTATTACAAGTTGCAGGGGCCAAGATGGTGTTGGTTTGGACTGCTTGCCTGTCACATCAGGGTTACAGAGAGCAGTTTCAACAGAAAGCCGAAGTATGGTCGAGGTAAGCAGTTTGTGGGGCTTTTACCGTGTCACACACCAACCTAATAATTTAGTGCAATGTAAGTCACAAAGACCAGTATTTACTATGACAGAAAAGGAAGGAGGATTGCATGAATCCTTGAGGGATAACCCAAATCTAGAGGAAAGGAGGCAGCCTTGCACACAGCTGGAGCTGAAATCTGGTCAACTAAGTCCTGAAGGCTCCCTGGCATTCCACAAGCACTGGCAAATCCAGAAGGCTGCCTGCCCAGTTTCATACATGTCATAGTGACCCTGAAGAGTCAGGTGAGCAGATTCTTCAGGCCCCAGAACTGGACACATTCATTTTGTTACATAAGTTTGAAAAGAGCAGATGTGACTGGCTGAAGGTTTATCTTGAATAATGCCATGAACCTTAGGGCATTTCGGGCATATGAAAATGCCCACATGCCACAGTCCTCGGGGATCACGGCGTTCTATCCCATATATGTCCTATGTCTCAGAGCTGTTTGCTAGACCCGCAAGATTCTATAATCTTGGCAAATTTGGGTTTCAAAGGAGTGAGTGAGCGAGAGATCAGCAGCAGTTACATGAAGCTGGCGTCACCGGTACCTAGGCCTGAGCAGAAACTCTGGGAATAATTAGCATGAAGCAGATTAAGCCTGGAATTTTGAAAACTAAGTGCAAATGGTCTATAGTCTTTGTGAGTGAGCAGAAATCTCCATTCCTTCTCGTCTGCACACAGAGACTACAAGTAAAATCAACTCAGCGAGTTCTCGAAGAACATTTGGTTCAGGTCTAAGTCCATACTCTGGGACCATTTGCTTCTAGTTCCTAAAATGAGCAATACATTGGAACACTATTATATGATCTTATGGTTCTGTTATTGGATCTGTGTTTTATGACTAACAGTTTTATGGAATGACATGAAAAATTAGCAAACTGTGAACTTCAGCCAAAATTAGACAGTCATTTTCTTTACTTGTTCTGGGAAGCCTTAGATCAATAAGTACAATTTGTGAAGGTTTTGATTTATAAAAAAGTGTTTCAGTAAATGTTCTGAAACCAAGAAAAATATATTATTACAAAAATATAAACATTTTTCAACTCTAGATCATGGGATGAGAAAAATTAGTTCAGGCTACACTTAACCTCTGGGTACCAATGGAATCAATCATTCAACCAATGAGTGTTTATTAAGCAGTTACCATGTGCCAAGCAGCGTGCAATACACTAGGAATACGGTGGTACTCTGCAGCAGTACTTAAGCCAAAGACTCAGTCTTCATCAAGCTTACATTCCCGTGGGACAGACAGTCAACAAATAAGTTCTAAATTTGAGGCAATAATAAGTGATACGAAGAAAAATATAGCTGGGAGGGAGTATAAAGAATGGTGGGGTGCTGCTGTGGTTTGCACACGATTTGTTTGTCCCCATCAAGCCTCATGTTGAAATTTGGTTATCAGTGTTGGAGATGGGGCCTGGTGGGAGGGGTTTGGGCCATGGGGGCGGATCCCTCATGAATGGCATGTTTCCATCCTCAAGGTAATTAGTTTGCACTCTGTCAGTTTCCCAGTTTTCCTGAGAGCTGGTATTGAAAAGGGCCGGGCACCCCCTCCCTCTCCTACGTCCTTTCTCACCATGTGATCTCTGCACATGCCAGCCCGCCTTCCCCTTCTACTGTGAGTCCAAACAGCTTGAGGCCCTCACCAGAGGCTGATGCTGATACCATGCTTCTTGTACAGCCTGCTGAACAGTGAGCCAGATAAACCTCATTTCTTATGAATTACCCAGCCTCATGCATTCGTTTATAGCAATGCAACAGACTAAGACAGGTGGGGGAAAGCACCACTTTCCAGAGGGTGGCTCTTCCCCAGAGGTGCTCCTCTGACCACCCTGGGAAAATAGCCCCTGACCTTCTGCCTGGCCCTCTCCATCATTATCAGACGTTATAGTGTTTATATATTTCCAGAGCCTTTAGCTCTGAAAGGAAAACCCTTATCAAAGAAGGGATAAGGATAGAGGTTTACTCCCTTATTTTATATTCATTTTTTTTTTTTTTTTCTTTTTTGAGACGGAGTTTCGCTCTTGTTGCCCAGGTTGGAGTGCAATGGCACGATCTCGGCTCACCGCAACCTCCGCCTCCTGGGTTCAGGCAATTCTCCTGCCTCAGCCTCCTGAGTAGCTGGGATTACAGGCACACGCCACCATGCCCAGCTGATTTTTTGTATTTTTAGTAGAGACGGGCTTTCACCATGTTGACCAGGATGGTCTCGATCTCTTGACCTCGTGATCCACCCACCTCGGCCTCCCAAAGTGCTGGGATTACAGGCGTGAGCCACCGCACCCGGCCTATATTCATATTTTGTCTCCATTCTTCCAAAAACCTGGGATCTCAATTCCTGAGCTTTTGTCAAACTCTCTTCAAGTATCCCATGCTTCATTTGTCATTACCAAAGTGGAGAAAATCTTTACATAAATCAGTGTTTGATTTCTAGTGCAAGTGTTAATGTAGGGAAGACTGATGGACATTTTATAAAGCACACAAAATCCTAGGGATGCAAAGCCTCCGTGGCTGTATACATAGGAAAGTGAAGGGTGGGGACTGATTATTAAGCAATATCAACTTTGGCTGTTGACATGATGCCAACTCCTTAGTGATTCCTGTAATTCTCCAATCTCCTTTGCCTGGGAAGCCGCAACCTCTGATTGCGCTAACTTCCAGCTTCTTGTTGAAATGGGAGACTGGGTCATGGCATACTCCTCATCATTTTGTTTCCAGAGAAGCTCACTAATCAAGTTTGTATTGATTGTATCTTGGATGTGGATTGATAAGGTGGAGCAAGAATCAACGGATGCTATGGGAACAAGAAAAATAAAAGCTGAGAGGTGGGAAATTCTCCCCAAATACAAGAAAATGATAGATTGAAAGTATGAAAGAAAAGTTAATACACATGAAGCATATATCCAGAGATTCTATATTTTGTTTCATATGCATTACAGGTGGAGAAAATTGAGAGAATAGAGGATAAGTATAATGTAAGAGAATTTTCCTTAATAAACCGCAATGAAGGGAGATTTTTGCTTTAAGCTTGGAAGGGTGTTTCAAGAGATTTGCAGTGGAGAGAGTGGATTTCTGGCAATAAAAATTTAAAAGCTTGATCTTGTTTTATACTTTTAAGTTCAATTTGTGAATATTGTTATTCTAAATCTAGCAAATGTTAACACTCATTTTTAAGAAGTCTTTAATGTTTGAATATAATCTTAACTAATTAGATTTCCTTTTAAGCATTTTATTTTTTTGTGGGAGACTGAAGTTTTATTATTACTCATATCAGTCTCCCTGAGCACTCAGGGATCAGAGTTTTTAAGGACAACTTGGTGGGCAAGCATACTCATGAAGGCCTGATTGAGATTCCAAGGCTTGTATGACAAAGGTGTTAGTATTGCCAACTTTAGCTTTATTAGCACATTTAAGGGAAGCACAGCTAGCTCTACATGTCTCCAGGCCTTACCTAGAATATCTAATGACTCCAAAGCAGGAAAGTTGAACAATTTTCAAAAGTCAAAGAAGCAGTTTATGACCTTAAAGCATTTGGCAAAACTGATATCTGACCTAATTTAGACCAAATATCTAAATTTTGAAGACATTTTAATTTTACCAATAATATTTAAAACTGTCTTTATTTCTGAAAGATCGCTAAAGTCACATGAACAGAAGGAATTAAAAAGTTTCTATTTTTCTGACAAAATATTTTATTTAAGAGCTTATTTTTCTAAGCCAATTAGTCAGAGCTCTTTTATCTAAACATCACACATCCAACACATAAATACACAGAGAGACAGACAGAAGTTCCAGCAGTTGGAAGATTTTTTCATTTGCCAACTTCTTAGTTGGATTACTGGCTTGAGGGTGT